AGCACTGCCAAGCCATGCCAGTGCAGACTCCCTCCTCCAGCAAACCCCGGGACGGTGTCACCCAATTTGGGAAGCATCATAGTGAGTGAGTTCCGCTGGGGACGTCCTGTCATTGGGAGCGATTCAACCCCATAGGGCTAAGTCTCCCTTCTGGGAGCATTCCTGAGCACTGTGAGGGAGCCATGGGGATGATCAGGAAGCCTATACAATGGTCCAACCCCCTGCACCCCTGTTAGCGGACGACTTCTGGGAGAGGCCGTGACTCAGGATGGGAGACCGTCATCCTGCCCACTAGCTTTGTCCGGATGGCTTAGCCCAGACCCTGAGAGCCCTGGAACCAGAGGTTACCCAGGATAGGAGACCTGACACGCCGTGCAAGGGTCCAGGGACCTCAGGGGTTAAGAGCCATGCCGCATCAAAGCAGACACGGGGACACTCCCACCGGCGCCCTTTGTGCAGGGTGGCGGGTCTGCAGACCAGGGGGATGTAAGTGGCCAGTACGTACAGAGATGTCCACTAACCCCTCTTGCTTCCCTCTGCTCCAGTTCCCCCACCCTCGGCCCCACTCTCCTAGTTTATCAAGGACACAAGCCCACGGCTCACAGTGGGTTGAGCTTCTGTACCTATCTGCTTGTTTATGATAAAAGCCAAGAGCCAAGCAAAAACCTGTGTGAACCCCTTTCTCTGTCTGCTACACACACACACGTAAAGGGGTGTCTTCCACCGTCCCTTGCTACAGAGAAGCCAGCTCCATCTCTGCCCGCCCACGAGGGTCACACATCTAGTTAACCCACAGAGCCCTGTGGACACGCCCCCGCGGTTTAAATGCATCCAATGACTGGGAGTCCTCACCCAAAATAGGCTCGGATTGGCCGGAAGCAGTTCCAACGCTTCTGCTCAGCGAGCCCAATGGGCCAGGTGCTGCCGGGCGGCACCAGGAGGACTACGTCAAAAAGCCTTCTCCACCCACAGGACGCTGTCTCCGGAACAGCCCCCTCAGCCCCCGCCCCGGTTCTCCATGGTTCTCAGAATCACACAGCTAGAACTGACATCCTAGGGGGTTCTCTGTGGTGGGGAGGAGAGGAATGGGGGTGGCCCTGGGACTCTCTCCCCAGGGACTGCGATAAGGCTGCCTGCTACAGACCGGACAAGTAAGTGACTCACATGCCTGCCGATGGGACCTGCCACGTGGGTCCTCCAGGCAGGTGTGGCCAGCTTCAGGGATCACAGGGAGGCAGCGTGAAGCCCTACCGAGGGCCACGCAAGCCTACGGGACCAGTGACCAAGGGCGTTCCCAATCCACAACACTGTCTGTGATGCCGACCGCTCCCCAAGACAGGGGGGGGTTCCTTCCAGTACCAAGACTGCATGGGACACCTGGCGGTGTGGCAGAGCGCCACCCGGGGCAGGCTGGGAGCTGCAGGTGCTGCATGCCCATGCTCATGCCAACACCACGCTGGGTCTGCATGGCACCACCTGAGCATCTCACAGCGTTTGCGACCGGGGACACGCTCCCTCACCTGTTAGGGGCATTCCCAGCGCGTCTGGGCTTGACACTGTCCTTCTCACGCCCGTCAAGGCCGGCCCCTCCTCGTGCCCACCCCCACCACGCAGCACCACTCCCGAGACGAGACTTACAAACCAATGGTCTCTCAGACAACACGAACCAACCACATGCACACACACCAGGGGGATAGCTTTCTAATCAGGCCCCAGGACACAGGGGCTGAAGCGCCTCTCAGGGACCCCCTTAGAGTCACAACCAAACTCCTCCACCCTCCGTGGAGGCACCAGCGGCCCCAACACCATGCCAATCATCTTGCTGGCCTTCAACCTCAAGCCTGAAGATGGCCCAGTGCTACTCTCCGTCCTCCACGAAGTCGCAGCCAGGGTTTCAATGATGACCGGACACAAGAGGCCCTGGAGGAGGTCTCCCCACCCACCCGCAACCGGGGCTGGGGTCCCAGCACCTCAGTCCACACCGCCTCTGCTTCCTCTGGGCCACGCATTCCAGCAGCCAAGGCCCCATCGGGCGCTACGCCCATGCGCGTGAGAGTCGGCGCTCTCCCCAAGCAGAAAGAGGCACACACCCGTATCCCTACCTCGATCAGGAAGTCTCCGGTCCTCAGTCCGGCCTGCCATGCCACCCCGCCCTCATCCACAGACTCCAGGTACTGCAGGGCTGGGAACGCCGGCGTCGGAGTGAATTCTTCGATGGGCGTATCGGCTGTGGAGATAAACAC